TTTTATGGCCGAACGCCACTCTCGTGGGCAGCTGAGAACGGGCATGAGGGGGTAGTCAAGATTCTTCTAGAGCGGAAGGATGTCCCCACCACTATTCCTGATAACAAGGGCCAAACACCATTGTCACTGGCTCTCTCAAACCGACATGATGGTATTGCAAAGATATTGCGGGAAAGGGACACATGATCAATCCCGACCCTCCAGATCCCGCCAGCCACCGACCACGTAAACGAGCCCCTGTCGGCGAATGTTGAAGCTCCTAATCCCGACCTTACCGACCCCACGCTCCGCATGCCCCGATGAGCCAGAAGCAGTATCGGGCATCAACGATACCGTTTCCCACTCCCCAGATAGTTATCCGCACTCCACCGAATCGTCCATGGTGCCTAAACCCCCTTCCACTCCGCCCCCTTCCACTCAGCCCCCGAAGCTCCCACATTCTCCTATTGGAACCGGCTCTCATCCCAACACGCTCGATCAATCCTCAATTTTGTTCGACCACTATTTCCTCGTCGCCTTTCTCATTTTTCTCTTGGCTCTCCCTTTTACCTCCTTCTTTCCTTCCTTCCCCCAACCCATATTCTAATCCAACAAATAATTACCGATCGTGCGATCGTTATTGTCAAGACCTCTGTGAGTTTTGTTGTACTGTACATAACATTCATAAGTGGCGTTCTTTCTCCCTCTAGTTTTAGGTATCAATTTGTGTGTATTTCTTTTGTTTCCCCCTTCATCGCCCTTTCCTTGCTCGAAGTTCTGGTTAGAATTTGCCCCCCCCAATTGCTTCTTATTCGTCCTTGCCATTATTCCTTAGTATTCATTCAGTATTTTCTAGATAGAGCCGTACAGAACGGCCCCTTATACTCGTTCGTGTATACATAGACCGTAACCTTAATTATTCCTGTATTTCTCTACATTTGTAATCCCCTAACTCATCCCCCTCCACAGTATCATAATACCCGCGAACGCTGCCAAGTCACCAGCATCAATCCCTTGCACAAACGGGCGACTTCACAGTACTCAGGCACCGCTGGGGGCTCCCGGCTATACATCCAGACGATCCCCTATCTGTGCAGAAAACCCTCACCCCAGAATCCTCACTATTTGCCTATCCCAGCGGACAGGCGAATGGCCAAACGGTATATATCAGGCCGCGTGCCCTCGGAGGTAAGGCTTCCGAAATCGCTCCGAGACCCATGAGAGTCTGGTACAGTTGTGCCCTTGTACCCCGGATCCTATTGAACCGTGTACCCCGCTGGACCGGGCGGAATATTTTGCTCCTCCAGCTCCTGACAGAAAAAACTCCTTGGAGCTAGAAAAGGGTGTTTTCAGATCCATATGACATCTTGGGAAATCCAACCCCCTGTTCAGATAGAAAATTAACCTCCTAAACTGGATGTTATGATTAGAGTTAGAATTACTAGACCAAAAGAATAGAAAGGAATGGGCCAAATATAAAGAAAGTGGGAAAAAGCAGGATGGGAAAGGGGTATTGCAGGCTCATGGTTGAACTGAGACATGGAGGCAGGGTACTCGGGTACAATACTTTGGATCCCTAATACCGATACCCAAATCATAGTACTTGGGGTAATGTACTAGAGTAGGTTAGGTCAACAGAAAAACATGTTACATGGGAGCTGCCAGCTTGACTACTAGTTGTGATAATGCTGCCCATGAATATTAATCAAGATAATGTCTCGTATAAGAATAGTCTCAATTTCTCCCAATTGATGTTTATTCCTCTTCAAATGACATAAACTCCTCCCCGTTGCTCCGGATGCCTTGGGGTCCCGGATAAAATCCACAAAATTTGACCATCCGGGATGGCGGGTGTGACTGTAGTGGAATTCTATGGGCTTCGTTAGTAGCGCTGGAGATTGCTAGGGGCGGTGGTCTGGAAGTGGTGGAATAAGTAGAGGGAGACGGGGCATGGTGGGAAATCCTGCGCTGAGGCGCCATCCCTCCTGTTTCTAGAATAGACACAGGGATAGGCCCCATTGGTATATCCTCATAGAACGCCTTTGCATCTGACACAGGGCCTGAATCCAGTTGTGCCAGCGCCATTTGACCTACTGAAGAGATAGTACATGTGGAAGGGTTCTCGGAGTCCAGTCCCCCAGGGGGAGGGACGTGTTAACCCTAAGGTGTATTTCCGGAGCTATTTCCTCAGATTCACTGCCACCCGGCCCCTCCGCTCCCGCGTCTGCGCGGTCAAATGAGTGCTCTAGGCGCGCTGCTGCAGGTGCAGGTTTCGACGGATAATTAGAGCACCCGGTGGAGGACATGTAGTAGTTTACAAAGCGCACGTGGACTGTTTTACTTCTCAGGGCTTGATTGCCGGTTTCGAGTTTTCGGATTGCCTTGTAGCGGTTTTTCTGGCCTGCGGGATCGGCGAGGCAGCCTCTATTGCAATTAGTTAAATGATTCCGTTATAGAGGGCGGCTAGACCAGAAAACAACCTCTAACCGAATCTGCGACATCAAGTACTGCCCCATCGCAGAGGTAAGACAAGAGTGGTCTCTATCGATAAACTTTACCACCCAATCCCCAGCTCTATCTGATACCTGCTTTAGCATTCACGCCTCCGATGAGAATATTTTGATTCAAACATACCCTGCTTACTTTGCACAACCACGAGATTTCGCTGCCGTCTCTTCTGAAAAACCCCCCCCCCCCCCGTCCACGCAAGCGATAGAATGTGCTGTAGAGTTGATAGCTGAGCCACCATCAAATTTATCCCTCCGTACACCCCCTCACCCTCATGCGACCCACCCTCCCAGGAAGGACCCTTCCCCTGCAACCTGAATAGACTCCCCAACCCACCGGATATACCCCCCAGATGCATCCCAAGAAATGGTGAATCGGGCTTGACAACCCCAAATATCCTATGCCTGAATCCCCATGCTCGCCCCACAGCAACGCCACCTCTGCCGCCAGAATCTGGCCATGGAATGCCCAAACAATATCACATCTGTTGCTTGGTCTTGAAATTCAGATACACTTCTGTGTGGTCGCCCCAGCCCAAATATTCCAAAACGACGGACAAAACAAGTGGCAAAGGTGGGTAGGAAAGATCCGGAAGCTCGTTCCGTCTCCTGTGAAGGCATGAATGTAGATTCTGAGGAGTTTCCGCTTCCCCCCTAGGAAGAGAGCCTGGAGCTGATTTGGAGGCCGCGGAGGCCTCCATTCCCGGATTGTAATCCCCCTGCGAGTAGGAGTAAGCGAACAATCTGGGGCCGCTGGTAATAGATCTTAGCTTACTGTTGGAGATCGCAGAACAAGCAGTTCCCGTGGAGGCAGCGGAGGAAGTATCATACACCTGGCCATGGCAACTCTGAGATGGGATTATTCTTGGTGCCCATGCTTGTTTCGTGTTCGTTCGTTGCTTTGTTTCCTCTCCGACTCTCCTTCGGCAAGTCAAGCGATGCCGACTCATGAGGCTGGAAGGCAATTGCAGAGGGTGGCTGTGTCTTGGAATTACAAGGATGTTATATGGTAGGCTTGCGCTTATAACATCCTTTAAAGGTGCAGCCAATAGATCTAATCGTCCCGTGAAGAGCGATAAGATGAACGATCCTGAGTTTTTGCTTATCACACTTCACGTGACAGATGTATCTATCAGCCCCACTTGTACTCGTACTGTTGACTTTGTCATTTCAAGCATAATAGTGTTTATAGGATTAAGATGCCGTCAGGGAATATGATACTGGTTCAGGGATAACCTAGCACCTTCGTGCGGCACTCTGCTAGGGCCATAAATAACTTATAATATATCGAAGGGTAAGAATTAACTCGCGGCATGGGCACATAAGGGGAGTCCGGTAAGTGAGCCACGGCCGGGGAATTACTGTATAAAAACCGCAATACCGCAAAGTATCCTACACTCTACAATCTCTCATAGCCCACATGGACACTACATTGACTACAGTTCAACGTTCGTAAAACCTGGTCCACCCAACTAACATACGTAGAATCCAGTATGGAATAAGTCCTTCAAAACAACGAACACCAGAGTAAAATAAAGGCAAGAAAGTATCTGAAATTATGATATCACTTCTCGGCAGCTTTTTTTTTTTTGAAATAGAAAGATGCAGAAAAGAGGAATTGTAAAAGGAGTTTGTATGAGGATGAAATATGTAGTAAGGGATTCAGAAAAGCAGACCGGGATAAATGGTGAGAAGGTGGGGCACTGTCCAGTCTTCCCTAACACTCCGTTTTCTTTGGTGGGCCATGGGAAAGAGCAAATATATCAGTACTCGCTAATACCGGAGAGCGGTGGAAATCACTGAAGACGAAGACTGTGCAGTACTTTCCCGGTAACAGTAATATTGATGGTGATAGAGAAAGTGAATAGAAGGCGATTCAACCTTCTTCCATGATGAATCTTTATCCTTGACTATTCATCTATGCAAAAAGCTGCTCCCGCAAGAAAGGATAGATGAGGGGAAAAGAGAAAGGAAAATTCTGGCGATGCTTGTCGCCTGCCCTTCGTGTTTTCCTTTCTTCCCTTTTCTCTGCTCAACCCCTTACTAGCTATGGTTCCATCTTCGTCATCTATTGAAGAGGATTGAAATTTCTAAGTAGCAAACAAAGGACGACAATATTTATTGTTGTCATTTCTCATGAGGGTCCTCTACTCCCCTAACCACACGGAAAAACTTTCTGGCGGCAACGACTATTTACAGAAACGCTGTGTGAGCTGTGCTCGGATGAACAAAAGAAGAGTAAAATTTTTTTTACACACTTGCCTAATGGGAAATCTGCCAAATAAAAGTCTACAGTGGTATGGTATTGAATAGTTATCCATGAATGTTGATAACATACACTCGGGTGTTCGGGTTCTGACATTGCTAGCTCTAGGTGCTGTAGAATGTGTTTCATCACTGGTCCACATTTTATGTCGCTTGTACTATATTATGTGGAGTGCTCTGGACACCAGGGGCATTCCTAAGCTGACATATGCTGTATTCCGTTGACTAGATTCTGCGGAGCGAACAATGCTGCTGGAGCCGGTCAATAGATTAGTTTCCCCTGTGAGGATCTCACATTCACGCAGGAGGAAACTGGTGTAGAGAGAAAGTATTACTGATAGTCCTTTCTTAGAACTCTAGCTGAAGTAAGAGAGTGCAGGGAATGAATAAGAAGGGAAATGATGGTGACAGGACGGGAAACCAGTGACACAAGTTGATATGAGGTAATATGATAACTGCGTCAAGGTTCCCGCCACTTCACTGGACGCTAAGCCATTGCAGCAGAATCCGGCCCCCGCGAGGGAGTAGGTATTATATTCAGTGTTCATAAACGGAAAAATAATTTGCGGGAAACAAGAAAGGGGGAATGTGCATGAATGCAGGGACCACCTACCTAGTCTGGTTAAATTGGCAGAATAGTTGCAAACAGGAATTTCTGCTGGTGCATAGGAGCCACAATAGCCTTGAATAATAGCCACTTGGACCACGTTTGGCAACCCGCGAAGCGAGATTGATGCCAATAGCGCAAAAGAGTGCTGCAGATTAGTGTGGAGATGGAGCGGAGTGGATTTTTGAATGGCAAGAAGAGCCAACAAGGCTAAGGTGAACACGAAAAGGATCAGGAAAAGGGAAATGTTCCTAGTTAAAGTTGATCGCTGGAACAGTTACAGCACGAACTGAACTCCCGATGACTTATACACTTAACAATCCGCCTCACCGTGGGGGTAAGGCGGCTCCCTGCGAGAATCCTGGACGACAAACAGGAGAGGCAAAGGCGGAGCTCGAGATCCCGCGGTCTCCGGCAGAAGTGGGATTGTCGGGCGATAGTTTTATTTTTCCCATCAATCCCAACCAGCCGATCCCCGGATATGGCCAAACGCCACTCTTGTGGGCAGCTGAGAAAGGGTATGAGGGGGTAGTAAAGATACTTTTACAACGAGAGGGAGTCAATCCCGACTAGGCAGATACCGAATATGGCCGAACGCCACTCTCGTGGGCGGTTGAGAATGGGCATGAGGGATAGTAAAGATGCTTTTACAACCAGGGGGCACCGATACCAATGGCGTTGGCACTAAATTTGGAGCAACGCCACTCTCGTGGGCCGCTGACCTCGGACGTGAGGGCGTGGTAAAGGTTCTCTTGCAACTGGAGGACGTCAATCCCAATCAGGTAGACACTGGGTCTGGCCGGACACCATCCATTCCGCTGCCCAAGATCCCGCTGGCCACCGGCCACGTAAACGAGTACGTCGGCGCGAATGTTAAAGCTCCTGATCCTGACCTTGTCCACTCCCACACCCCGTCTGCCCCCAAACCCGCACACCCCGATGGGCCAGGAAGGGTATAGGGCATCAATTATACCGGTTCCAACTCCACAGATAGTCTTCCGTGCTCAACCATACTGTCCGCGCTGCCTCTACTCCCTCCCACTCCGCCCCCCGGGGTTCCCGGGTTCTCCTGTCAAACCGGAACCGGCTATCATCCTAACACTCCCGATAAATCCTCCCAATTCAGTCCTAGCAGTATTTTCTCATCGCCTTTCTCATCTTTCTTTTGGCTCTCCTCATTTCCATCTTGCCGCCCCTCCTTCCAGCCACATTGTAATGCCACAAATGATCCCCAATCGTGTGATCGTTATTACCAAGACCTCCATAAGTTTAGTTGTACTGTACATAGCTTTCATAAGCGGCATTATTTCTACAGGTAGTTTCAGGCATCAATTTTTCATGTAGTGTTTTTCTTTCTCTCTTCATCACCATCTCCTTGCCAGCACTTCCGGTTAGACTTTGTCTTATAGTTTCTTCTTATCCTTCCTCACCATTATTCTTTAATCTCGACACAGTATTTTCAGATAGAGCCATCCGGAACGGCCCCTGATACCCGGTCCTGTGTATATGGTCACTAACATTAATTATTCCCGTCCTATTCTGCGTTCGTAATTACCTAACTCACCTCCTCCCAGTAATATCCATCAATACTTCCAAGTCACCAACATCAATTCCCCGCACAAACAGTTGACTGTACAATACTCCGGCACCGCTGAGGGCTCCGGACTATATACATCAAGACGAGCCCCCTATCTGTGCATAAAACCCTCACCCAGAATCCTAACTATGTTTGCTTATCCCAGCGAATATGTGAATGGTCAAATAGAACCAGGACGAGAGCAAGGGGGGCGTCAGCGCGGTGTTATCTACAATAGTTATGATGCAGAGTGCGCTCAGAGGTAAGATGTCGAAAATTCCACGGCCACCCAGGAGAGTATGGTACTTCCTTTACTTTTACACTTGTCAACGTGCTCGCGAGGCAAGTGGGGGAGAGATGGGTTTTTGGGATTCCCCGGGGTGGGGGATGGCGGTAAATGACAGATCGGGGTAAAGTAGCATTGATTCTCCCCAAACACATCACCCCCTTTGTAAGAGCATTTGAAAGGATACCGCAGTAACTAGCATCCGGCCAAAAAACTACAATAAGTGACACCCCACCCATCCAACCCCATCCTTCTAAAACATTACTACCTCCGAAACCGCTTTCCACACCACTCCCTTCCCCCTCTTCCAACTACCGCCTGTTACTCTCCTCCCCTACCCACCTCTCGGTCCTCCGAGCCACATCTCCAACCAGCCTCTCACACTTGGCTCCCAAAAACAACAGTCCACATGGACATCCAGTTCGTCCACCCCCGTAATTTCAACCCTGATGCAGGACACGACCGGTAAGTGTGCGATGAGGCACGGCTTCCCCTCACCCTTCTCCCTTTGGGGGTTTTCGGGCGTCGGGGGTTTTCTAGGTGTCGGTGAGATAGCTAGGCATAGAGAAGGGGAGGGCGACGGTATGGATCTTGACCCGCTGTAAACAGGTGGTTCCGGGGCATCCACTAACCGTCGCTCTTCCCTTTCCCTTGTTATCCCCCTCTAGCCGTAGTCTCTCCGCCCCGCGGTCGTGCTAGGTGGCGGGTTCCCGCTTTTCCTCGCTTTCCTTCTCGCGTTGCTATGTCTTTTCGTGCTTTTTTCCGGTCTTTCACTCACTCCTTTTCTTAATCTTTTATGCTTTTCTTCCATAGTTTCCTTGCCTTTATAGAAGCTCTCCCTCCGGCTTCGCGCACTGTAGTATCCTGGATTTGCGGGTTGTCAAATTCTATGGGCTTCGGTGGTAGCGCGGGAAATTGCTAAGGACGCTGGTCCGGAAGTGGTAGAATAAGTGGAGGTCGAAGCAGTATGGTGAGGAATCCTGGGCTGAGGAGCCACTGCTGCAGTTTCTAAAATGGGCACAGGGATAGGTCCCATTAGTATACCCTCGAACAACTTTTCATCGGACACAGGGCCAGGATCCAGTTGTGCCAGTGCCATTTCATATGCTGAGGGGATAATACTTGTGCAAGGATTCTCGGAGTCCGGTTTGGGGGGGACGAGTTAACCCCAAGGTGTATTTCCCGAGTCATCTCTCATGATTCGCTACCACCCGGCCCCCCCACTCCCGCGTGCGCGAGGTCAAGTGAATGCTCTAGGTGCACCGCCGCAGGAGCGGGTTTCGGCGGATACTTGGAGCGCCCGGTGGAGGACGTGTAGTAGGTTACAAAGCGCGAGTGGACTGTTTTACTGGTCAGGGCTTGATTGCTGGTTCCGAGTTTTCGGATAGCGTTGTAACGGTTTTTTAGGCTTGCGGGATCAGCGAGGCAGCCTCTATTTCAATTAGTTAAGGCTCTGTTTGGTGGGAACGGAACCGTTTGAGACCGTCCAACTTTCCCATACAAAACGACCGTTACAAAACGGAGGGGTAAGAAAATTTGTATGGGGAACGGAACGGAACGGACACGAACGGTTGTATCCAAACAGACCCTAAACAATTCTGATATAGAGGGCGGCTAGACCAGAAAACAAACCCTAACTGAAGCTGCGACATCGAGTGCTGCCCCGTCGCAGAGGCAAGACGGGAATAGTCCCCTTTCAACAAACTTCGGCGCCGAATCCCAAGTTCCCTCTATACTCCCTTTAGCATTAACTCCCCCATAAGAATATTGTGATTAAAACATACCCTAATTACTTCGCATAATCGCGAATTTCCGCTGTGGTCTCTTCTGAAATAGCCCACCCACGCTGCCGCTAGAATATACTGTACTGTTGATGGCAGAGCCACCGTCGAATCTGCCACTCCGTACACCCCCTCGCCTCATGTGACCCTTCCCATGCAACCGAAACAGACTCCCCAACCCAGCGGATACAACCCCCGGATCTGTCCCCAGAAATGGTGAATCGAGCTTGACAACCCCCATATCTTATGCCTGGATCCCCGCACTCAGCTCTAAGCAACGCCGCCTCTGCCGCCAGAATCCGGCCATGGGATGTCGGAGAAATATCACACACATTACTTGGTCTTGGAATTCGGATACATTTCCGCGTAGGCATTCCAGCCCAGATCCTCCAAAACGATGGACAAAACAAGTTGTGAAGGTGGGTAGGAAAGATCCAGAAGCTCGTTCCGTCGCCCATGAAGACATAAATGTAGACTCTGAGGAGCTTCTGCTCCCCTACTAGGATGAGAGCCTTGAGCAGATTTGGAGGCCGTGGAGGCCTGAATTGCTGAGTTGGGGTCCCCCTGCGAGTAGGAGTAAGCGATCAAATCTGGGGCCGCTGGTAATTGAGAGCAGCTTGCTGTTGGAGATCTCGGAACAAATAGTCCCCGTGGGGGCAGCGGAGGAGGTATCATGCACCTGGCCCTGGAAACTCTGCGATGGGATTATTCTTGGTGCCCATGCTTGTTTCGTGTTCGTTTATTGCTTTCTTCCCTCTCCCACTCGTCTTTGGCAAATCAAGCGATGCCGAGTCATGAGGCTGCAAGGCAATTGGAGATGGTAGGCTGTGTCTCGGAATTACAGGGATGTTGTATGGTAGGCTGGCGCTTATGGCATCCTTTACGGGTGCAGATACTAGATTTAATCGTCACGTGATGGGCGATAAGAAGAACAACCCCGAGACTTTGCCCACCAAACCTCACGTGACTGATGTATCTATCAGTCCCACTTGTACGGTTGACGTTGTCATTTCAAGCTGGATAGTGTTTGGGGGAGGTCGACTCGTCCCTACCGACCAAGATACAAGTACCAGCACGGAAAACAATAACTGAACCACGACCGGGGAATGGCGGTATAATAAGCGCAATATCGCAAGCGCTCTTGCAATCTACAATCTCTATTACCACACATGGGTACTGTAGTTATACTGTAGCTTGGCAGGTTAAGGGGAATGACGGGTCCACGAGTACTGATTAGCGAAACCCAACACACGTGGTAGGCTTATCATATACGGCACAATACCAAGAAAACGTTGGACCTTCTTGGGCCCTGGTGGAGATTGTGGTTTTCACAGAGATTTATCCTGTACACCGGCGTCTAGCGGTCGTAGGACAGGACACGGAGGTTTCTATAGTTTCGCCTTATGTGAACTGAGAGAGTGCGGGGGATTCTCAAGAAGGGAAATAGTGGTGACAGGACAGGAAAAAGATGACGTAAATTGATATGAGGTAATAGGATAACGACGCCAAGGTTCCCGCCACTTCGTAGGACACTAAGCCAACATGGAAACTGAGGGGGGAGTAGGTATTTGGTGTTCATGATCTGAAAAATAATTTGCAGGAAACAAGAAAGGTAGACGAACATGATGGAAGGCAACCTTCATAAAATGCATAAGCCACAAAAACCTTGACTAAAAGCCACGTGAACGGCGTTGAACAACAGCCTCATGAAATGATAAGGTTGCCAATATTGCAAAAGGATACTGCAGATTAGAGTTGAGAGGGAACGGAGTGAATTGTAGAATGGCAAGAAGAACCAACAAGGCTAGATGAACACTGACAGTATTAGGAGAAAAAAAAGTTCATAGGTAATGTATATTGCAGTAACAATTGCGGTATGAGCTGAATTGCCGATGGCTTGTATTATATATTCAACAGCCGAACTCACCTTAGGGGTAAGGCGGTTCCCTGCCTGAATCCTGGACCACAGATAGGTGACGCAAGGGCGGAACCCGAGGTCACCAGGTTGGCGGAAGTGGGATTGTCGGATGATAGTTTAATTTTTTCCCTTACCGTGGTTTTTCCAATAGGCGTCCATAGTCGCCATGTAGGATTAGTTGAGGTTAGGAGGCTATATCAGTGATAAATACCCGTATACCGCAAAAGCTCGCCAAACTCACTATGCAGGTACCAAGGATATTGGCGCTAGGGATTGGATAGGAACTTGTTTACCTGAGGATCGCTGTATACCGGTGATGGTACTTACCTAAAACTCTGTAACAACGATGCTGGTCTCATCAGCCCAGAAAAAACGGGGTGGTCACTTGAATGATCTCGGCTGTATTGCCATGCATTAGTGTTTAAATTCTTCTAGCTGCATAGCGAGTTTGGCGAGCATTTGTGGTACCCTTATTATACCTTAGTTTGCAGCTCAGGTTCCCGTTTTCTGTGTTGAATTATGGCTTTTCCAGGGTCCGTGGGGGTGGCTGGAGGTCCTGCCGCAGTAGAAATACATTCCTATGGTGAGTCAAATACGGTTACCACTATCGGGGATGAAGTGCTTGTGGTGGCTTGTGTGATAGACTCGCAAGGTAGGATATATCTCTTTTGATTGAAACAGAAGTCTCTCAATAATCCCTGAGTTATAGCTATTTTCTACAAGTACTAAATGTTCTAGTACTTGTTATGGGAACTGCTCAAGTGGAGTATAGTCAAATCCGGTACCGGTATCTTGGCACGCCCCCTCGAGAAGGATTAGAGGTTTCATACGGTAAATGGTGGGGCAGCTAAATGTACTGGATCTTGCTAACCTATATTCGCAATTCGGCCAGCCAGCCAAACTATACCTATAATGGGATGGTGGGAGTCTGAAGATCATGGACTTTATGAGATTTGAGGGTATCTATGGCTGCGACCATCCAGGCTGGTTAGATAGGCTTTAATAGCCTCATCATTTTCCCGTCAACAAGATATGCCCCCCAAATATAGTACTTCAGCTTCCATTTGGTAAGTTATGATCAAGGCCGTGTCTCGTGGAGTGCCCGCTGGGGATAAATTGGGCTGAAAATAGTATCCCAAATGAACTATCAATTACCACTTTGTCTCGGACATTTGTACTCAGGCGACCATGCGGCCGCCTCTTATTAAAAAACCAATCCTCTCTGATACGAGAATTTCAGGACCATGTTTAAATGTTGAATTTAGCGAATGGCGAATGAATGGCGAACTAACGGCAAAACAACGACACAACAAGCGAATTACAGGCTGTGAAACTAAATGACACCCTGTGAACAGCAAAGCATCTCAACCGCGAAATGAAATGAAATGCCAAGCTCTGTTACGTGAAACTATCGCACTCTCATGAGTGGGAAAAGTCTCTTCACTTCCTCTACCTCTCAATATCACGCATGTACCCAACTAACTAATGGCAAAGACAGGAGTATGTATCAACAACAACCAAGTCCTTCTATCCTTCATTGAACTACCACACATGTCCACGATATTTCTCGTATAATTCCCTTCCCCCCTGGCATGACTTTCATAACAAAGGAAAGACAAACTCTCACTGTCCTTAGCCACCGGACAGCCAAGGCTCTAGGCGTCCGACTTTCCGACTTTCCTCATTGCCTTTCCGCTTTCCTCGTGGGGAATATATTGATGCAAGAGCTCCGTGCATTCCCACAGCCAGGGCCCTTTCCCGAGAACCCAAATATGCCTAAAGGTGAAGGGCGTTTTTAGGGACTATGTGAACAATAAACTATCATGTGAGCATGCCAGGCAGCACCTTGCGGTTTCCAACACGGGAAAGACCACAGCTATTTCTATTGTGGAAGTCTAATCCAATTAGTAGCATGGGCGCCTCCCGATAGTTGCGAGTCTGCACGGCCTAAGGAGTTTGGGGACACCTCATTCCTGTTCTAATAATGAAAGGTAGTGCATTGAACTGACATTAAGAATCGAAATATGTGAATTGGGATTGTCCTGACGTATGAGTCCCGATTACACTATACAAGATGCAGTTGTTCGTGCTTTGACTTTTCGCTTTCGGCGGCATGTTTGGGGCCATGGCTTTACCAGGATTTGTGGGTTAGTTTTAAAATTCTCATAGGATACGGGTCTTCGTAATATCGCTCCAATACATCTAAGAATGTTGGGTATGAAGTGTTAATAGATGAGCCAAGGAATTGTATGGTTGGGACACACCTCCTGTTGGAATAAATTGAAATATGTGGAGGTGATGATTGACCGTAACTGTTCGCAATGCAAGGTGAATGAATTAAACCTAGCAGCTAGCTATTGATGAGTTGGGTTCGGATTCCACAAGGTCTGGAAGAACTTATATCGCCCCGGAAAAACCACCCATGGGCCCGCTCCAATGCCCTGCAGGTCAATATCGGTATCTTACGCCCGTGACTACTCGTACAACCCATACCCTCATGACTAAGAAGGGTTTTTTAAAGCCACATATCGGTATCATACTAGTATGACACCTCTCTCCCCAACTAACAGCATACCACATCCACCAATTGCCGGTATAGTGCTAACCCGGGTTTAGTTTTGGTGGGCTGTGGTCGGTGCCTACCAGCGGTGGGCCACAAGACTCCAGGAGGCCCGAAATTACACACCAAAATCAATAGCAGATTGCCACTAAATTATATCTCATATGTACAGTAAGCGCTCAAATAATAGCATTCACGGACCACAACTTAGCCATCTCGTTACCCCCCACACCCCACCTGTCATATTACCGTGAAACAATCCTACTCAGAACTGCAACTGCGCAACTGCTGCGGTGATTAAATTCAGTATGAAAGAGTACGGTAGTATGCGCCCAAGATGAGAGTAGGTAGCACCAGAAACCGCTAAGAGCATAGATAGGGGAGGAAACCTAGAGCGCCAGTTTTTCGCGATACATAGCAATGGCACTATATCTAGTCCGCGGCTCGCCAGTAAATATCAATCATCTTCTACCAAACCCTCGGGCACCAACTGCGAGGGGAAAAAGAGCGCGATGCCAGACAAAACTCACTCGTAACGTGATTCAGCAGCCCTGTTGGGAGGTATGTCTCATATTTGTCAGGCTTCCTGTCCAAATGATTGGATATTGATTGTCGCACAAGCCAGATCTCCCCTCTTTCCATCTTTCTCTCTCTACCCCGACGTCCCAAATCATTCAGGATCTGCCCACTGAAATCTCATAAACCCCTGTGATAACACTATCAACCGCCATATTATTTCTACATTCGAGCTATATTTGGGGCAGAATATCATGGCCCAGGCCATACAGATTCAAGCGGCCAGCTTTGGCGACGGTAATGCCAACTGCGGCAACATAACCGCGATTTCCACCAACATTTGCAACTCTGACGACGATGCGGGGGTTATGCGCTGGCTCTCCCCACTAGAGCCAGGAAGGAGACATCAAGATGTGTGCACTGATCGATTGGAGGGAGTCGGGGAGTGGCTTCTGGAGACTAGCAAGTTTCGGAAGTGGAGCAGTAGTGAGAATGGAGCGGATGAGGCTGTCCTGTTTTGCAGCGGGAATCCCGGAGTGGGAAAGACCTATCTGAGGCAAGTATCCGGATTCTCAGAAAGAGACGAGTATGGCTGACGGCGAGAAATAATAGCTCCCTGGTCATCGACCGGCTGTGCCAGCAACAAGATATCATAGTTGTAGGCTTGTACTGCGACTACCTTTCCCAACAGGAACAGACTATCACCAATATGATAGGGGCTATTGTGAAGCAGCTGGTAGTGAGAGCTGGCATTCCAAATTCTATACGCGATGCGTATGATGAAGCAAAAACGAAGTTTGGCGGCAGC